TCACAAATTCATGAAGCGTTCCATATTTAAAATTTTTTAAAAAATAAATAAAAAAGAATCAATACACGTAAAGCTCTTAAAAGAGTTTCTGGCACATGAAAAAGTATTCAATAAAGAGTTTACTGTTACATCGTTATTATCTTTAGATGACTCCTATTATGTCTATTTTATTATATCCTATATTATAGATGTTATTTATGTAATAGTTTATATATTATTTATATTATATATTTACTATGTATTATGGTATATTATGTATAATAAGTATATAAAAATTATGTGTTACTTACATGATATATAAATACAAAATTTATTTTATATTTAAGCAAAATGTCCAAGTCATTTTCTCAATTTCTTCATATCATAAAAGTATGTCATAACTAATACACAATGTCTAACTTTAATTTCAGGAGAGTAATCAGAGATACATTTATTTTCTCTTTTTCATATTTTTTTTTAAAATTCTCTAGTCCATCCAAAAGTCCTCTTGTTCAACAAGAACTAATGGAAGACAAAACCAGCAGGTTTACCTGCAAAGGAAAACCAGTTTACCATTTCATGGGGATCAGTACCTTCTCTCAGTACACTGTCGTATCAGATACTAATCTGGCCAAAATAGATGATGATGCAAATTTAGAGAGAGTCTGTCTGCTTGGATGTGGGTTTTCAACTGGCTATGGAGCTGCAATCAACACTGCCAAGGTAAAATGCTTAATTACCACGTTCTATAAAACAGAAGTTATTAGGAGTCAGCGTGATAAAGCAGCTAGGATTATCTTCAAACCCTGGTTCTGTAGTTATCATCTCTGTGATTTTAGGCAAGTTATCTAAACTCTTTACTTCTACCTCTCTATAATAATATCTATTACAAATTACTGTGGGAAAACTAAATTGTATTGCATATGTAAGACATCTGGCCCAGTGGGTGACATATAGTTGGCACCAAATTCATGTCCATTTCTTTTCCTATACCAGTATGTTTTATTATAGGTCAGCCCTAATTAAATAACAGCCTGCTTAAATATGTCCTCTAAATATGAATCCTCATCCTGAGACAGCAGATCCAGTCAAGAGATGAAACAAACTGCAGAGACCCCACCCACCTCCACATGGCCACGGCCTACTTTCTCCCTGATGCACACAGGGATGCTACTCTTGGCCTCCCTCTGAAACATCACTTTTTCATTCATTCACTCACTCATTAAAGAAAATGAAAAGTTGTATGGGAAGCCAAACTATAATATGCAAGCTCCTGGAGGAGAAAGGTGATAGTTGGGTGGAGTTAACAGCCCAAGTGACCTTGGCAGTCAAGGCATATTCTCCTGTAGATGGCATTGGATTCTCAGGAGGAATTATTGCTCTTTGGGCTACACACATCCCCTTTTCTGGACGCCTTGCAGACTCTCACCTTCTACTACTGTAATATTTCTTCAGGAATATTGACACTAGAGATTCAGCTACGGTTTACTTTTTTATATATTTATATATTTCTTTATTGATTTCAGAGAGGAAGGAAGAGGGAGAGAGAGATAGAAACATCAATGACAAGAGAGAAGTATTGATCAGCTGCCTCCTGCATGTCCCCTACTGGGGATCGAGCCTGCAACCCAGGTACATTGGGGCCTTGACTTACGAGTTTAATTCGTTCCGTGACGGAGCTCGTAACTCAAATGACTCGTATGTTAAATCAATTTGACAAATCAATTTGCTGGGCTTATGTTGTGGCATTCACTGTGACGTTCGCTGTGCCAACTAGCGGTGGAGTAAATGAAGCTGGCTCGTCACCCAAATTTTAGCTCACAACTCAAAGCAAAAAATCGGCCAAGAGATGGCTCGTATCTCAAAAAACTCGTTAGTCGGGACACTCGTAAGTCAAGGCCTCACTGTATGTGCCATTGGCCGGAATCGAACCCGAGACCCTTCAGTCCACAGGCCGACACTCTATCCACTGAGCCAAGCAGGCCAGGGCTACAGTTTACTTTTAAGTGTAGTCAAAGTTGATCTAAATTCCCATGACATGTTCTTCCTGCTGTTGAGGAACAGCTAAACCACCTCAGGAGGTGATCAAAGAAGGAAAATAACTCATAGGACCATGTAAAGGGATGTGAATTGTCAGTATTTCTAGATAAAAAGCAAGACCTTTATTAAGGCTTAATTTACTTCTGGGAAGAAAAGTGATGCAACCTTCTGTGTAATTATTGGGGATCTACCACAGCATGGCCAGACCCTGATTTGTTTTAATGTGCTTGTATCATTTACAGCCAAATTAATTACATTTCATGGATGTCTTTGGAAGTATGAAAGTGCCCTGTAACAGTGTTGCCTGGAGATAGGAAATCAAAAGGGGAGAGGGTATTTTATAGTGACCGCCCCAGTACTGCAATCAAAAGCACTTTTACTCTCAGGGGTCTGGTTATATAACACAATCAGTGCAGTGTATTCAATTTATGCACTATTGTGAGCTGGCCTGAGAATCCAACTACTTAGTACAACATAGTGCAATGGGAAAAATGCTTTTCTACTCTCCATGAGACTTACAGGTGAGCTTTTTAACACAGTCTCTGGAGAAATATACTTGGAAATAAACTAAACATATGCCACAATATTATAGTAAATAGTACAGAATGTATATAAAACATTATTCTGAATATTTACAAATATATTTTTATTTCCCCTGAAAAGCAAAGGCTATTCTATACAGACCCAATATCATGCATAAAGTGAGAGATGCCACTTCTCTTAGTAATTTTGTTCCCAATACGTCTCATAGACAAGTTTTCTTCTTTCCCTTTTGTTTATGCTTTAATTTTAAAAGTTCCCCATCATCGTGAGAAAATAGTAATAGTAAGCATCTCTCTGTGCAGGTTCTTTGGGGATTTTTTGCCACTATCTCACTCTACAGAGTAACATACTCCAGTTGGCATTACCTTCTGATTAAAGAATCAAAAATATTTTGTGGGGAGAGTGTTATTTAAGTCGGGCCAAACATATAAGGTGAAATAAGGTGAAAAGTACAGCAGGCTAAAGGGACAGCATGAACTAAGACGTGAGGAAAAGAAAGTGAGACAGTGTGTTGTGGCCACAGTACTGTGAATATCATGGAGATGAAATCAGAAGGCAACAGGTGTCAGATAATAAAAATCCTCCAATGCCATGTAAGGAAATTGGATCTCATTCCATCTAAATAATTTAATAATTGGGATGACTGAGTTAACTCACATTTAGAGCAATATCAGTGGTCATCAAAACTGTAACAGTAACACAACCAAATAAGGCCTATTATAAATATGGACATCAAATTACTTGTGATCTATTTAAAAGGGCAAACAATAAACCCTTTACAGTGTGTGAGCTTTCAGATTTTGTTCTGATACCACTAAATGGGAAATGAAAACAAGGAAATGGTTTCCTTATAAATTGATGATCCTAACGACCCTCAAATGATTCTCCAAGTTTAGTCAGTGATTCATTCATTTTTACATTGGTAAATTTCCCCAAGTGGCTAAATCCCTTAGTCTTATGACAGGCAGTCCTTTATATGTTCCTGCCCCCACCTCACTCTGTACCTTTAAAAAGGGGGGACCAGCTGCTTAACTTAGGATTTTCCTGCCTGCAGGTTACCCCAGGTTCTACTTGTGCCATCTTTGGCCTGGGAGGTGTCGGCCTTTCTGCTTTAATCGGTTGTAAAGTAGCAGGAGCTTCCAGAATCATAGCTGTTGATATCAACAGTGAGAAGTTTGCAAAGGCCAAAGCCCTTGGAGCCACTGACTGCCTCAATCCTAGAGACCTACAGAAGCCCGTCCAGGAGGTCATCATTGAAATGACCGGTGGGGGTGTGGACTTTGCACTTGACTGTGCAGGTGGATCTGAAGCCATGGTATGTATGTTTTTTCTATTGGTACATAGTAAGTAATATTTATTAACACTAATAAATATTGACAGTATGTATCCTATCTAATAAAGTGGGAATATGCTAATTGACCCTCACACCGTCGCAAAGACGGTGGTGCCCACAGCCAATAAGGAGGGAATATGCTAATTGACTGCCCCACCCTCAAAGATGGCAGTGCCCACAGCCAATAAGAAAGGAATATGCTAATTGAATGTGATGCCCTCAAAGACGGTGGTACCCACAGCCACAAGATTGCGGGGACCAGTCCCCTCAGCCCTGCCATGCACCTGCCTCCAGAGTCCCCCAGTCCCCTCAGCACCCCCGCCACCCAGGGCCGGCCTGAGGAGCAGGTAACCAGGACCAGCCAAGGCTTGCACTGCCGGCAGGGCAGCAGCAGAGGTCTGATGGGGGCATCACCTTCCCCTGATTGCCAGGTCACCTCCCACCCCTGAGGGGTCCCAGACTGTGAGAGGGGGCAGGCTGGGCTGAGAGCATGAATTTTCATGCACCAGGCCTCTAGTATATTAATATATTTATTCACTTTATAGTCAATATTAACATATTTGTATATACATAAATTATGTTTATATAATAAGCAATGTTTATTAATAATATATTGGCTATTATGTAGTGTGTTATAATTGATATTTAATCTATTAATAAATATTACAGATGGCTACTTAATATTAATGTTATTATATATTTATTCTTCCACATGAAATTCAGAGAAAATTTAAAAGTGAAAATTTTTAAGGAATTGTGCCTGCAAGAAGTGAGCAAAACAATGAGAGCAGGAAAGGCAGACTTAAAGGAGGAGCAAGAGAATGTGGCTGGTGTCACCCGAACAGCCCGAGGTACACACTCCCATCAAAAAGCAAAGCAGGGAGAGGCCAGCAACCTACACACAATCCATTCTGTCTGCCAGACCTCATAAAGGGCTGCAAAATTAGGTCCAAAGTACATATTGACATTTTTAATATATTAAA